GTTCCGAACACTTGATATTATAAAAAAGAATACATTTTACAAACATTAAGGCAATGGAGGCATTATACAAAATTTTTAGTTAGACGCCATCTCGAATGTAATGTAGTTTAATGTAATTTAATATAACTAATGGAATACAATACGAATATAATATCGAACATTTGATAATTTTGGCTACACTGTTGCATTAGGCTAGTCCTGTAATGATAGTTGCTAGCTTGTGCACGTAAGTAAATAAATAAATAAATAAAACACTACAGGAATGGAATTTTTTAACACCCCGTACAAAACGACGTCGTAATTTGTAATAAGAGCCTTCAAACTTTAAACTCATTGCTGATTACGGTAATTATCTATATTCCATAGCGGTAAAAACATTCTCGCAATTCACTAAATGTATTCAAGCATAACGAAACAATAAATGCTTCTTAAAAATTCACATGTCAAGGACCTTAGCTCATTAGCTTCAATTACTTACAGCACGTGTGCTAACCGACTGGAATAGAAACGAACAGGTTCTATACTTCAAGTGAAGAGGACAGTGTTTTTTCGTAAGGTCTGGTTATAGTTCTATAGTCGGAACCGTGACTGATCGATTTGTCATATTAAGGGCAATTTCGGTAGGTAAACTGAGCTTTGTTTAGGCTGTTATATGCCATTATATTTTTTTAAATGGTGATACAATGTTTATACAATATTATATACATAAATATATTTTAGTAGCAGTAGAGCTCCTTGTGAAAGAGTTCGTCCAGGGAAGTACTGCCACTTTACCTATTTCTGCCGCCAAGCAGTAATATCAGTATTATTACAGGCAAATGGGACTTGTCAACTTAAGTTTCAGGGTGAGGGGCACAGTGGAAGTGTCCCTCAGAACTTTGTAATTTAAAGCTCGTGAGCTCATTGTAAGTCCGGTCTTGTAGAATTTTGGGTTTGGATTGACCTAACTTAACCACAGGACTTAAATTTGAAATGAATCTATTTGTTTCAGGGATCGAAGTCGCGTATATTTGTTTTATCAAACAAACCAACGTTCCGGACTCTTTACATATCTCGTGATCATAAATGTAATATTTGTTTTTCTAAACTGTCGTGACGCCCGAAACGTTGGCATAATTGAAATAACAAATATATACGATGTAGATCCGAGAAAAAATAGATTCATTTCCAAGGGATAGCAATCGTGGCAACCTTTATAGGTTTCTTCTTAGTTGTTAGAATTCAAATTATATTGATATTTTCCCCAAAATAGATATTAAATAAGCATACATCAATATGTTAATCACTTATTAATGTTTCATTATTTTACCATATAATTAATGACTATTTTTGTTTTAACACAAAAACTATATGTAAACAAAAAATAACGGGAAACTCTGGTACCTATTTGTATTTAAATTTAATACATGGTGATCTTTTAAACATCGTCTCTAATTTAATTACATATTTTCTACCTAGGATGCTCCAGAGGTCATTGAAATTAAAAACATCTAAATTTCAACACAGAAGACGGTTCCTCCGTATCACCAATTTGGGATCCAGTATTTCCTCTGATGAAAAATTCGAGGTAGATAAAATGAACGCAAATAAACGTCCCATCGCCATCGAAAATTTTTAATTGCTATTGAATACACTATGTTTTACTACCATAGTATTTTTGTATTTATAATTTTTTTGTGAAATTCACTCTTCCAGCTGAGCAACGGAACGGACCATCAGACCTTACGAATTTTTCTATATACTTGAAGGAGATCTTTGATTTTTTATAATGCAAATATTTTATATTAATAACGTTGGTTTGCTACAAAAAAAAACAAATATGCTCGATTCAGATCCGAAAAAATAGTTTAATTTCAAATTTGTTTTAAGTTGTGTCATGTTATATACTCGTGCTTTAAAAATGTTACCTTTCATTAGTACCTGACATATTTAGTCTTTAAATTAAAAAAAATTGAATGGAATTTCAAACTTAATCTATTACGGACAATGACATCTTACTGTGTCTAAGGAACCAGAAATGGTTACACAATAGTGACGTAAATACAACAACGCACGATCGCAGATCACGACTTCTTAAGCGTCTTCGTTATACTAAAAACTACGCTTTTTGCACTAAATCATGCGTTTATTTCTGACGAATGCCTATAATTGGTATTTACCGACTTCCTGTTGTATTTTTTTTTTATGGAAAAACAAAAGACAAACGTTACGAAGCGTGTCATAATATAAATAATTGGCCTGCAGCGCCTCGGGCAAGTTTGCGCAAGCTAGAATTAATAAATTGTATGTGTGCTATAATGCGCAAAAACACTGCGTCGATGTTCTGCAGGCTGCGGGCCAGTCCCAACTTATCTTGATCACAGTGGCGGAAGGGTATGGGTGGTAAGGGTGTAAGACTCGCCATGAATGGGTCATTAGCCCAGGCGTTGATCAGCAATAAATATCTTTTTCAGAAGTATTTTTTTCAATCCAGGCACATATTTTTTAAATGTAATATACATTACATTAACGTAGACACGATATCTTGTTACTAACTAATTTAGACCATTGTAGTCTGCTTTCTGAACAATTAATTAAAAACTATACATTATATAGTATACATTATTTATAAGTATAATTTTTTTTAAAGAAAAGAAAACTTTAAATAATCACGTAGCCACCATTTCAAACTAGTTTGTGCATCCAAAACACATGTTGCATACATATTTTTTAGTAACAGAGTGGTGCGTAATTGGAAAATGCTACCTGAAGATGTTGTTTCTGCTGTTTCTGTTAATGCCTTCAAAAACAAGTTCAACAACTGGCTACGAAAGAGTGAATTAGTGCCAAAAAAGTAAACTAAAACAAAAGATAAAAATTTCAACACTGTGTGATGTAGACACACCAGCGAAAGCTGCTCGTCTATAATCAAATAAATAAATAAAAATATTTATAAATTATATTTTTAAGACTTCCCAACTGGCTAATAGACAATGTTCATTGAAAAACTAATACACCTTGTTCATTTATTTACACAAGCATGGGTTGTACAGACGTTGACATGTAACAAATAAATGTAGTTTCGATGTATACATTTATTTATAGAAACACAGATTATATAGAAATCGAAATTTACTAAAATAAGTAGAGTTTCACTGTGTATAGAATTATCATAGAAGTTGACATGTAACAAAGTAAGTACTTCACTGTGTTAAGACACATTGTAAATTAACTCACATTCGCTTCAACGGATTAAACTAGGTGTAACATGTTTTTTTTTAATTAACCTGCCAAAGTATTTATTACATGTCATGTGTTACACAATAATTTTAATGTTAAAACACTTTCGTCATAACTCAATTAGGGTGCCGCAGTTAACAAGATTAACTATAAAATGACTTTGTTTAACATTGGCACTCCACATTTATCTTTCTGTTGAGTTTTCGTTTGCCGCAAAGGTTGTCTAGAAGAGATCGTTATAAGCGAAAAGGTTGCCTTTGTCCACATTATGTTCTTGTGCATAAGCAACAAAGTGCATTTAAATCTATTTATCTATCTATACAACATTACGTAATGGCTTCTGTACATTGGTGAGCAAAATAAAATAACAATAGTAATAAAATACACGTTGAAACATAAACAATTAATTTTCAATAATTCTTATCCACTAAGCAGATGCTAACAAATAATTTGTTAACGCTTTTTGATGCGGAAATAACTGCTTGAGGCGTGTTGATTTTTTTTTGCGATGAAATCATTTTTACGACGCGGCTATAAAAACTACAGTAACTTATCATTTTATGGTATTAATAGAAATAAATTGATGTTCAATCAAATCATCGCGAATTATAATACCGCAAGCAATTAGATATGTAACAAAAACAGAGTGATCGTATTTCAGCTTGGAGATCTCGGAGTGAGGACACCAAAACAACTTGAGCAAAAATAGTTTTCAAATCGAGACTCAAGTCTGCTCCTTCATAAAAATAAATATTGGAACGCGTACGTAGTACGCGTAGTAATTTTTTTATATAAGTGTAGGAATATACAGTACTTTATAATATCCATACATATGAATTGGCTTTATTATTTATTATATATGGTGGAAATTTGGAATTTCGTAAAAATATTTTGTCGTAATGGAAAATGTTTCTTACTACAAATTGTTGCTTACGACATTTCAAAACTCTATACATCGACGAAATTATTACCCTTATATCGACAGTGGAAATTTGAAATGTCCTAAGAGACATTTTATGGGAAGGTCATTTTCCCTTTCGACATCATGTCCCTTACGACGTTTCAAATTTTCACCAATTTATTTATGAATTTTCTATCTATCCATTACTAAATTTTCATAGACCGCCATCTTCTTCCTGTGAGTTATAAAATTACTTCCATCCATTTGCTTAAAGCGATAAGACCGCCCATTGTATAACCGCTTACTTTTTAGTTAATTTTGTTGTATTTGTTTCCATTTTGACGTACAATAAAAAATGTTTGTATTGTATTGTACTTTATATGGAAAACCATTTACATACCTATACTAAAAACTACAGAAAACTTATTATCATACTTGCTATTTAAATTTTATTTATATATGACGTTTTAATAATAATCTTCATCGTCAATCCAGTTATACGTCTCACTGCTGATCACGGGTCCTCTCAGGCGAGGATTTAGGCTATAGTCCGCCACATTAGCCTAATGATTCAATGTTTTCCTTCGCCGAAAACCGCATATTTCAAATAAATTTGCACGTAAATTCCGAGAGACTCAGAGGCGCAACCCCGAATTCGAGCCTACAGCCTCTGTTTGAGACGCGGTACGTCCAACCTTTAGGCTACCACAGTTTCATTTAATTTTCGGTTTCATTTTGAGACCTTCTACTTTTTTTAAACTAGAAGTATATTCATACTTAAAAGAAGGTTTCAATCTTGTAAGCAATTTTGTTAATATTTGAGACGAACTAAAGTATTTCTTTTTTATTTGAATTTAATAAGTAAATTCGATATACTCACCACTAGTACTATGATTATCATGCTGCCTAGTGTAGTCGTTCCTCTCAGGGGACGGAGCCAAATCACTGCCAATTCCAGAGCTTCCCCCAGAAGATTCAAGCTTCCTCCTCACGTTGACCCCTACTATATTCTGGTTAAGACATCGGCGGGTGTCGATATTGTTTAGATTGCCTTTCTGACGGTGTACCGTGTCATAATCTCGAGGTGGTAGAAGGATTGGGCTTTTACCTGAAATATCAGATAAAATCATTATTTGTAATGAAATTGTATGAGGAATAATGCTAGAGGTAAAATTTATCTAAACGTCTTTGCTTACAATTGGTTTTGGATTGCACTAAAATGAAACATTTGAATTGGCTTTCATGGTAAGTCACGCTTATCTATAACAGTTGCAGTACCAATCAATGCTTTAAATGGCAAAGATCTGGGGGGTTCTGCCACTGCGCTCGTCACTTACTTGTATCATTTCCTTGTAAATTCATCAGGACCCTTACCCATCGCAGTAGAGCTCCTTGTGAAAGAATTCGTCCAGGGAAGTACTTGCGACCTTACGTATTTCTGCCGCCAAGCACTAATGTAAGCATTACTGCATTTCAAGTGAGCATTACTCTGAGTGGCACTGGAACTGCTATAGATGGGCGTGTCGCTTACCACCAGGCGCACGACTTGTAAATTCCATCACTTGGTGTCATAAGATACCCTTACGCAACAATGCTGACATTAGTGCTTGGTAGCATAAATAGGTAAGATGGCAATACTTTTCTAAATTAACTCCTTACACAGGGAACTCTACTACTATTATGAGAATGGCAGAACAAGGCAAGATGTCAATAAGTAGACAGTAATTTTCGCTGGCAGTTTTATTCCCTACTCGCTTTACGGTGCAAGCTTATAGATGCCTTGGCAAATCTTTTGCTTCTGAATAAGTCGATACCTAAATTACACTACGCCAACTATATTTTTTGGTCAGTATCTGTTATTTTTATAAACAGCTAGATTTATTTACTAATGTTATGCTCCCCGAATATTGTGAAAAAAAATAAAGAAACAAAAAATAGAATTTGAAAAATAAAACAAAAAGGAATTTTATGAAAAAAAAGGAAATAAAAAATTCAAAATAAAAACAGAGCAGCTCCAAAAATTATCTTGGCGTAGTGTTCATTGGAAGTATCGAAATATATGGAATCCATTCCAACATATGAATTCTCACGTAATTACAAAAGCGCATGAATATTCTATTATATTAATTTATAAGATCTGAAGGGTACTGAGCCCGTCACCCTAAGACATAGAGACTAGTCCCATGTGCCTGTAGCTTAAACAAGAACTGATTCTTTATAACGTTACACAAATATTTAGTAACAAAACTGCTGTTGTAACGCTATAAGTTGCAAATCAATGTTAAGCTTTGATTTAATACTGTGAAAAGCCCATATACTATGAAATCTGTACTTAACCGCTAAAATCGTGCATTCTTCATTAGCAAAGTGTAAAATACATATAATATTTGGTAAGGCCATATATTGCATCACAAGCCTCATAAAAAACTTGACAGATGCAAATATTCCCATTAAAAATAAACAACATTAAATACAAGATATGTTAGCACATTCAATTATGATACGGTGTCAAAAACATCACTCTATACAAAATAAATATCGAAGGTGAATTTGATTAAAGATTACTAAAGGGTCATTGTCATTTCACAATTAATAAGTGACAAGATTGAACTTTAAAAACGAGAATTACCTATGTTTGTCGGAGTTCACTCTAGCGTGTTACTTGACTTATTAGAATGCTCTGCCTAATTATCGGTTCTCCAACAAATATAGCTCGATTCTTTTCCAGACGCCGTGTTGACAAGCAAGCCGCATCCACAACCATATTGTCACTTAATTACCATCAGGTGAGACTGTGCATAAATGCTGACATATACATATATATTTTGACTTTAACCTTAATGTTCTTGTCTACAAGAGACTTTTTATATTTTTGCAACATTGCAAGGACTAGATACAGAATTCCCTGTCCTTTACAGAATTTCCGTTTGAATCAATTAATGACATACAGCAAATTTACAAGAAAATGTAATGCGTTTTTTATTTTAAAAGCGCGATCTATATTCCGGTAATATAAACACCAACAACTAGTTAGTGTGTAGTTAGTGCCTCCGATTTGCTTTAAAAACTCTGATATTGAAATTAAAGTGGATAAGTAAGCACAAAAAATATCGGTTTATTCCACAAATCCCCACTGCTGAAGATCCTAAAATTGTAGTAAATTTTATTCCATAAATTCCCACAAACGCAGTACCTGTTACGCACTGGGGATTTGTGGATTAGGCGACAGACACATATATTTATTGTGTTTTCTTTAAGATTAAAATGGAATATTGAACTTCCTTAAAACTTTGGAATTATTTCTTAAGTGTGCATTTAAACAATTTTAATTAATGTAATCAATATTTTAATAAATAGATTACAAGACATTTTGAATACCAGCGTAGTAGCATCGAGTAGATTTTCATACGCTTTCAAGGGCGAAAAATAAGCAAATTATTAATAAATACAAACATTTATTTAATATTACAAATAGGTAAAATAATATCTTAGTGGGTTTTTTCCATGACTTTCCACTGCGTACAAGTACAGCTTAGTGGGGATTTGTGGAATGAACTGAAATCATCATAATTATGTAGAGAGCAAATATTTGATACAAATATTTGGCACCGTTACTTTAAATATAAAATGATACTCATTTCTTTTTTACTCAATATTATGGACGATGAAATCGAAAGAAAAGATATTAGCACAATACATACCCATAAGTACACCAATATACGACATTCAACATACGTGGTGCAAGCAATGCGTGCGGTGCAAGCCAGCAAACTACAAAAACTGATAAAAGATGACTGACCTAAACCCTTTTTACCTGTTGACAACTTTTGTTTCAACTCAGCTGCCAAGCTATCGTAAAGATTGGCCACACAGCGTTCTTCATTGCTTCCTGAATCCGATTCTCTGGAAACTTCGCTGCCCAGGGAAGAATCTGGAGGTTTCTTGGTAGCTGGTAATGCCCCTCTCATCTGTAGTTTCCGTTCGATGTCGGCGAACTTCTTCTGGTTTTCTGGTCTGTCTATCAAAGCCTGAAGATGTGTGTAGAGCATTTCTGCGGTGTGGTCGGAGTCACAACTGTGGACAAAACATTACTTAGTTAGATTAATATTTTTTTCAGTAATTTGCGAGCGATGCATGTCATTGGGACAAGAGTTGGATCTCCATTGAGATACTGACGGTTGTAGCGGCTAGAACCTCTGATTTAATAATATACACACATAGTAATTATTAAGTCAGAAGTTTAACTAATAAATAAATAAACTTAAATTTCTAAGTTACGTGCATTTGTTTTTTTATTATAAGAATAAATGCGTATTCGATATTTGCAAGTGACGATGAGGCCGACGATGGAGTATGCACCGCTAAATAATGCTTATTCACTCTCGCTTTGATAAGGCCTCAGTTACAGCGTTCAGGGAATAAGTCTGTAGGTAGGGAATTCTACTGCATAGCCGTTCGCCATATAAATGTGGAAGCGTAATGCTTCGTGCGAATCTTTGGAATATCCACAACATAAAGGTGGAACCCAGACTTACGTCTAGTCCCAGGCGGAATTAAATGTGCATTCTCTCATACATTTCCACACTCTACGTCATATATCATGTAGAATACCGATAAATAGGCAACGTTGTTACGGTGTTCAAAGTATTGCAGCTTCGCATCCACTATAAAAGCCGAGCCACTACAAGCCTCTTGGCACTGGATTTCAAGTGAATCTGTGGTGGCCGGTTGGTATTTAGCAGAACCACCTCGTAGGTGGCAGCAGCACTTCATACACGATTGGACGTGTGTTTGGTACAATTTGTAAATGTTCAGTTGTTATTATTTTTATAACGGTAAAAGGACTTACTGTGACTAATGTACCAGTCAAAGGTTTGTTTGAATATAGTGTGGAGTATACATTTTTTACTTATTTTATTTTATACTGTATGGTAGAGAATGCCTTATGCCATTAAGTCCGCCATTAACGCATCGTGCAAAAAGATTAAATAAATAAACAAATAATTTATATTATGAATTTGACCATAACCCCAAGTAGGACACCCGTGCAGTGGAATTATTAATGGGTTGCTACGGTGATCAGTTTTACTGGTCGTAAGACTACCTGTGTTTGAAGAACCTGTCTGGGTATGCGCAATGCAACTCTGTGTTTCGGTTGGAGGTTCGGAATAATCAATGCAATCACGTTGACTAGAGACTTCAAATCTTTATTTTTAAGGATACTTTCTTAGTACGGTTACCATTTGCCATCAAGAAAACCGCCTGATCGTATTGTACATATTTAATTTAGACAATTTAAAAAAATCGGTAACATTTTTTTTTTAATCTACATTTAAGGAGCTTTACCATGAGTGTTAATGGTGATGTCGCTCCGTAATGCTACTTAATTTATGCATCTAACCTAGATTAAGACTATCTACATATATTTTGTACAGTATCTTGATTTCGTTCGACGTAAGGACGGCCAATATACTGTTACACCACTCAGTCTGTCGCACCTTAACCACACTGCCCAACTGTCTCCTCTCGTCTTCAATAATGCCGCAATTATTATAATATGGAGTTGGTGTAATGCCCATCAAAAAGGTAAACTTCTTTGAAGGAATGTGCCCAGAGCGCAACCTCAGGGCCGTCACAACACTAAGTCTGTTCAGCATGCAGTTATCAATCCATGGAACTTCCAGTGGCTCAGGTTGAATTGTTTTGAACCAGAAATCGGTAACATTATGATTCATTAATTTGCAAAACATTAGAGAAACAATAAGGATTTCCGTATGCGTAACTTTTAAAGCTTATTATGTATTGCTTACGTAGCGCTATTCCCACGTATACACGCTTATTATAAATGCTGCTGCAAAACTCTTCAAACGGTATAGAGTATGCAACAATATCCTACCGTTATTGATTTCAAAATCACAAGGAATGTATGTCATTGTACGTCATTGTATCGAGACGCGAGTATCGATTAAGCCCTTTGACGTGTCAGTCAAATCGACTCGATAGTTATTGCAAAATCGATTTTACAATATGTCAAATCGACAGAAGGGTGGAGAGGTTGCATTGATCGACGTTGTGACGTAATTTTTGCACAGATTATATCGTTGTTGTTCAAGGGAGCCAACACACCTACAGCGGAATTGATTTTAGCGAATCCAGGAGCATTATGTTCATGCAATAAGAGCGAAAAAGACGTAGTCGACGTGTCGTAGCTCTAGTCAGCATTCTGATACCATTTCTGTCCAGTGACAGAGCTTTCCTACATTGTTTAGCACTGTAGGCAGCTATCAGGGTTTTTGGATGCTCGATCTTATAAAAAATTATACCGAATTAACCTTATATAATAACATTGGACTAAATTACACGTAATTCATAACTATTATAGCATAATTGCGATTCTGACATCAACAATCGTTAATACCATTTATAAATCAATCAACCTTCCAACATACCACAAGGTACCACACCTATTGTTCGTCGTAACTTCGCCATGCAAATGTCAAAGATTGACAACTGACAAGGCCCCATTTGACAAGAGTACACTTGTCACGAGTGGAGGACAGTGGGTTATCGATATTGAGACAATCGATTAAGGTTAAAATGGCAGTGTTTTGCTTGCAGAGAGTCGTGCCGAGTGCTAACGAATTGATGATGTAGATTTAGATATGCTGGGGTCGGCAGTACTCTTGTCTTTGTAATAGATAGTAAGTACGTTCTTTCAGTAAGTACGTATCCGATTTCTCTTTGTCTCTCTATGACGTATGAAAACGGATCAGAAAAGATATCGATTCATTATAACACTAATAGACACACCGCCTAGAAGAACAACACGTAGTTTTTTTTTTAAATATCAAGTGGCGGGACGAACAAGACGTGCGCCTGATGGTAAGCTACACGCCTGTCCATAACAGTTGCAGTGCCACTCAGAGCTTTAAGTCGTAAAGATCTGAGGGGCACTGCCACTGCGCCCGACATCCTGAGACATAAGTTGACAAGTCCCATGTGCCTGTAATTTCACCACCACCCTTACCCTTCAAAACCAGAACATATTAAAGCTGACATTACTGCGTGGCGGCAGAAATAGGTGAGGTGGCAGTACTTCCCTGGACGAACTCTTTAATACAAAGATCGAACAAACATACAAAAAATCCATCGACCCGACTGGACTCGAACCACTGACTGTCGCCTCAACGTGGCTACCGCTCTTCTAACTGAGCTACTAATTGAATCGGTAGATCTTACAAATCTTTTTCTCTATGTGCTTGTTGCGGGTCTTCGTTCTAACTTTCACGTCTCTTTTGCGTAGCGACATCTGTGAGAACTTAACATCTGTGAGAACTTATGAAAGTTTCTTCTTCAGAAAAGTGATAGAGATGGCGCTATTTAATTGCAATTTTTTATTCTCATTGAATATCATGATGTTTTTACTACTCCACTACTTTGTTATTATTATGAAATGTGATTTGTCAATTTATGCTCAGGGTGACTGGCGCAGTTTTATCTTTGCGATTAAAAAGCTCTGAGTGGCATTGCAACTTCCATGGACGGGCGTGTCGTATCACAAAATAAACTTCAACGTTGAAGAAGAGATGTAACGCAAATAACACTACCCACTCACTGTTCCTCTTAGTAATGTTTCTAGTATTTAAGTTGCACTCTACTACGTTGACCCAATGTCTTCGCAGAACTTTGTTTAACGGACCGGCATGCAGAATTCGTTATAATATCATTGTTCACTTCAAAGCAAGTGATGATTATTAACAATGCGAAGACTTTCACAAATTTATAACTGGATTTATTTCTATTTTCACTGTAATTTAAAAATACAGTAAATGCATCTAAATGTATAATATTCTAAATACTATTGCATAAGCTTGTCGGAAACACTGTACCATTAGCACTTCTAATAACGTAGCCTAGATATACAATGACTAAGCTCTTACTTGAGTAAGTGTTAGGAATATTCATACTGACACCACTGCTATAATTTCCAAAGGCTGGAACGATGTCGTAAGAAATTCCTGGCTCACATGGGCGGGCCAGCTAATTACCATAAAGCTATTATTATAGTAACTTACGCAATGATTATGCGTGATAACCGGTACTGTAATAAAGGGTTATCAGAATGTATGTGACTGGAAATAGAGAAATTATAAATTCTTATTTATAGAAATTCAACCAAATCACGTTTGGTGCACATCGTTGCGTGTTACGAAACTATCCCTTAAGCATCAAGGAAGTTAGTATCGGAATTGTCTATTCAGTCGAGCACGCATGCGCTTCATATATTATGTTGTAACCGCTTACGGATAGCAATCGAAATTATTATTATAATATTCAAAGACACGTGGAATACTATTTAAACATAGCAGCGTGGCTTGTATCTGTGAACGCTCGCCGTGTGCCGTGTACGAATGCACACATTCATATAATCTCACGGTGCGCTCGAGATGTATACCGCGGGTCGTCCCACGCGCTATTCAGTGGTCGAGTAGCTTGCACACCGGTTTTCATGACATCGCCATCTCTGAGGTCCCGGGTTCGATCCCCAGCCGTGTCAATGTAGGAAAACCTTTCTATGTTGTCTCGGGTCAGAGTGTTTGTTGTACCGTCGTAGTTTTCGATTTCCATAGCACAAGTGGTTTAGTTACTTACGTTCGTGTCGGAGCGACGTATGCTTTCTGTTCTAATTTAAATGTCTAAGAATGTTTTGCATCATTTAATTGCAATTCTAAATATGGCGACGGCATTGACTGTCATTGTATGCATTCATTCAGTAGTTAAATGCAATGTCGGCCTATTCGTAAATTCAAATTCGTAGAATCAATTTGACTTGCACGGAATGAACATTTTTGTACCTTTTTCGAGAGCAGTCTAAGGGAATGTGTTCAGAGACGGGCAAGCACCCGGGTTAATAACGCCGGGTTTAAATCGGGTTAAAACCCATTAATGCCCGAAATCGAGGTCAAAAACTATTTACAACTAAATATTTGTTGTAAATCGAGTTTTGTTCTAATTTAATGTTATTATTACAAAATATTTATTGCTTTCTGATCTATGCGATTTGCCTTTCTATT